TTGACAAGGGCTATCCACCTGTAACTATCTGTTAATGACAGAAAACATCATTGCCGGTGTGATTTTTCATCAAAAATTGTAGAAGAGAACTTTTTTGATATCAAAAATGTTCGTAATTTAAAGCAAAGATCGTAATTTTTCTTTTTGAATGCTTAAGTTAACCAATATGCTACAAATTAAACATGGAACAATTTCTAAATAATGCTTAATAACAAAGTTAAAATTTGATCTTCAACTGTTAATATCTTCTAGAAATAAAAAAAAAAAATTCTATATTTTTCTCGTACTCCCCAAGTGAGCCTCTATCACCCCTTAAAAGGAATGACCCCAATTTTGAATCACCCTGTATAAATGTTTTATTAGTACACCAAACGGTTGCTTGTTGTTGGTTTAGCGGTCATAAAAATCGTATGCGTTGTGCCTGCTAGCATTCTCTATATGCCAAGTAAAGTAGAGAACCATAGAAATCAATTACTCAACTCGCACCAAGGAAAGTACGGATACGTTAAGAAGTTTGTAGCTTTACAAGATACTTCATTTCAACGCAACCTACTGCCACTTAATACAGGGTGTTTTTTTAGTGCGAGAGAGTCCATTATTTCCGTTGGTGTTGAACTTTCGAAAAATAGTTTCATATAGAACTTGTTGACGCACAAAGTGCGCACTATGAAAATATTTTATATCATACAGTGTGTATCAGAAAAGCGAGGCAAGATCAAAGTGCATTTTTTAAGTAGAACTACCCCTTTTTTATGAGCTCATGGAATGCAGCTTGAAACGCTGCATATGCACTGTAAATTGTTTTTTCTTACTTGCGACGTTGGCAGATTATCGCCATTTTAGTAAAATTTGGCTTAAAAACATGGTATCTGAAAATTCATTGTAGAAGCAAAACGAGCAATTAAAGATCCAAAAAATACGTCTTTCCAATCACCACAGATCCGTTAGGAACTCTATTAAATCAGAATATTAATACAATGCACAATATTGTACAGGGTGTTAACAATGTGGACTTAAATTTAAAACTTTTTAACGCAATATAACTTTTGTTTTTCATATGGATGTACCTGTATGTAAATGTGAATATCAAGTAAACAGAAAATTTATTGTTTATAGTTGCAATAGCGATATTCACGGTATGATAAAACTAGATGCAGTATGTTCTGAAGTTTACATGAAATGCCTTTTAAAATTGAGAACGACGGTGTATGTTCTTGTATGGGAACAATTTTCACTTGTTAAATAATTGAACAGTCCAAACGTTTCTGGAGCTTTATCTTTTAAGTTTCCTCTAGGGATCAGTTTTGATTAAGAAAATTTGTTGAGAGAGTTATTGGTACTCTTAATACTAACTTCCATCTACAGAGGGCGAGAAGAAAGGGTGGTTTTTAAAATACATCTATCCAATCACCACATATCCGCTAAGAATTCTGTTGAACCAAAATATCAATACATTGTACAGGGTATTAACAATGTGGACTTCAATCTGAAACTTTTTAACGCAATATAATTTTTGTTTTTCAAATGGAAGTACCTGTATATTAATACATCATTAGATCGGCAATTTACAAAGTTACAATTTGCATTTACACATTAAGCTGTGAAACCAACCGATTTAAAATTATAACTTATTTTATTTAAAAATCAGAAAGTTATGACATATTGTAAGGTAGCTATGGAATTCATTAACTAAGATCAACATTTGATGATACTTGACATAATCAATGAAGAAAAGTGCAACGTTTTATAAAATGCATGAAATTTCATAGCAAAAAGTGCAGTAGAACTGCATACGTCTATAAAAATAAAAATACATAATTATAACTACAGTGATATTTAAAAATAAATGTTCAATATGATTTCCGTTAACATTTAAGCAATTATTAATACATTTTTCAAATGAATCGCTAACGGACTTCAAAACAATATTATTAATGTTTCGAAAAACAGTTTTGATTCGTTCCTTCATGTCATCTTTTGTAGTTGGAGTTATTTTATAAACTTCGTTATTGACGTAACCCCATAACAAGAAATCCATTTTTGTGGGATCTAAATCGGGTGAACGAGTTGGCCTCTCTCAGGAAATTCATTATTTAAGTCCTCATGAATAGCGCTGTATGGTAAACTGATATTTCGTTGATGTAATTAGATAAATGATCAGTTAAACGGGGCAATTAATTTTGTAAAAAAATTAAATAAATGTTTCAAATTACTCTTCCATCAAAAAAGTAAGGCCCAATTACATAATTTCCGATAATGCCACCGCAAGTATTTAATGATCAACGGGTTTGACTATTTGTTGTTATAAAATAAGGCTTGGTATTTGCATAATAATGGAAAATATGTCTGTTAACCATTCCATTTTTATGAAAAGTTGCTTCATCAGTAAATAATACATAATTAAAAAAATATCTGTCTTCCCCAATTTTTCGCCTGGCCCATTCACAAAATCTAACTCTAGTTACATAGTCCTCGCTGTTAGGTTCCTGCATTCACTGGATATGATGAATTTTATTTGTTACCAATATTTTTTGTACAATAGATCTACCCATGTCTGTTTTATTAGCAGGTATTCTCTGGGAAGTATGAGGAATTTCAGTTAGGTACTTTCAATAAAACTGCTAATTTATTTTCTTGTGTTGAAGCCGATTTTAGTCTGTCCATTTTCTCATATTCAACATTTCCTGTTGGTGTGAATTGTTCCATTAATTTTTCAAACGCCTTTTCTTGCGGTTGCCTTATTTCAGGAAAATGTTGATAATAAAGTCGCGTAGCGACCGTATAATTTTTATAACTAGCACGCAGTATAAACACCATATCCACTAATTCCTCTTAAAAAGAAAAAGTAACATTTGTTTAAGAGCTTTTTAATAATATGGATGACTTTTAAACTAGTCGTCATATGCTAAATGTGTATCGATAAAATAAAAATAAAATACCAATAAAAAACCGTTTTTTTATGTGCAAGATCATTTCGAGACCCGGAATAATGTTTCACTCCCCAAACTACTCTGTATAACAACTGTAGTTAGATATAAATTATGCAAAACAAATATATTTATTTGTAAAAAGAAGCAATAATTGTCTCTTCTTTGGTGTACCAGTACCAGTTATTGTTGTTCGTGTTACCTTTCTGTTCTAATCCTTTTTATACCATGCAACGATAAAACTGCAAGCTTATTAGCATAGCATTAGTAAAATATTAAGCTCAAAGCGCAAACTTCTAATAAATACCTGAGAAAATTGGAATAATAAAACAATACATGAGGGCAGGCAATGGGCAAGAGTTTAATTGACTCTTTACTTTTTATCAACCGATTTGAAGTGCCACAGCATTTCACAAAAATGGGGTGAATCCTGTGAATAAATAACCGCGTTAAGGAACTAATGAGACAACTTACGTCTGATTATGTAAGTAGTACTGTTGTACTGGGAAACGGTGGCTTCCGGTGTGTTCCGTTCTGTTTTAATTTGTTGCCTCGTTTGTAAACGCAATGTCTAATTAGTGTTATCTGTTTCAAAATGGCCATTTGGCTGGCGAAACACTTCAAAGCCCTTGTTCGAGCACAAGCCACCAGTTTTTCTGGGCACATTTGTTTTCATTAAAAAGAAGATTCATCGCTTCCAAATTATTTGATTTAATCAGATGATGTCTGCAGATACAGGTAGATGGTTGTGTTGTTCCAATGGAACTGGAAACATAAGCGCCCATTAAAAGATGCCCATCATCCTGGCATCATTTGTCAATATCGTAGAAGATTGAATACGATCATTTAGTCACGGCTTCATCAGGAATTCTATTAAACGCGTGAAACTTTTGCCTTTTTATCGACGTTTTTCTCAGTTTGGTTAATTGGCTGTTCGGCTGCATTCTAAGAAGAATTAGACCACCTCCTATGAGCTAGACTTTCAACGGCTGAAATTTCCGTTTTTTTTTTCAGGAACTCTCAGACCGCCTGGATTGATTGGAGGAAGTAAACCGAAAGTTGCAACCCCGGCAGTAGTCTCCAAAATCGAACAGTACAAAAGAGAAAATCCGACGATTTTCGCATGGGAAATCCGAGAACGACTCATCTCAGAAGGTCAGTGATAACGAATGCTACGCTCAAATCTCACAGCATTTATAAATAAAACGCAAACAGTCATTAAATTTTGCAGCAGTTTAACTAATTTACGACATATCATTAGCATAATTCGACGATGAAAATTAATTTTACCGGGATAAACGTGCAATAAAATGCAGAAAATTATTTACAAAGGTAGAAATAACCATTGGAAACGAGATCAATTAAATAAATTGGTATCAATTACCTGAATATGTAAGTACAAATACCCGTTTTTGTAATTGCTTCGCGTTTTTCGTCTCGCTTATTTATTGCCTGGTATCAATATTTAATATCTTCGTTGACATGCGATATTTTTAAGCTCTTGGTTGTTCGTTAAGGCCACCCCAAATTACCCACAAAAATGTTTCTTTCAATAGAATCCTGAGCACAACAGAGAATAAAGTATACTTACTTACTTAGTAAAAAATACTGCTTAACATACGCAAAGCAATAGATTATTTAACATAAACTGCACAAAGCAGTGTGTGTGTAGTTGTTAGAGCATCTCACTCAGACGGGACTCAAAACATTGAATGGCTCTTCAAACTTTGCACAGCTTATTTGAGCGGTCCGAAATAAACAAACAGTATCCCGTTTTTCCTTCTGATGGACAAGCCGAAGACGAAACACCCATAAATCCTGCCTCCCATAATTATGAAGACTTCACTATAATAAATATGGGTTTTCAATCATCTTAAAGGTTGCCCATTAGCTGATGGTGAGCCATATATCTCTGTAATTCGGCTCATCTGTTACTCGTTGTAACAATGTCCAGATCAATTTTGACACCTCCGATGCTTTATGGAGGAATATAAATTTCAGGCGTTTCGAAATTTTGTTTTATTTTATGCATTAATAATTTGACCCTTCGGTAAATAAGAGGCAGCAATGTCACATGCATATTACAGTCTAACAGTCGCTCTTGTATTTTTTTTTAATTCAAATAGAAGAAGAATATAGAGGCTTAATGAATGGAAGGAATACGTTAGTCGAGCTCTTTCGTTGCTTGAAAATGTCCTATTATTATGGGAAGAAAATGAACCAGATGGATTTTTCGCAATATTAACTACCCGTGGCAACTGCAATGAGTTCGGAAACCATTTTTTTCAAATGTTAAATTTATGAAGAAGAATCGGATGTGCTAAGAAAAAATCATTTACGCGAAATATTCGAAATTAAAATAATTTGTGCAATTCTTATAACACGCAATTCGGATTTTTAAGAGGTGAGAGAAATCAAGTCAAACTAGCCTCTTATGTGGCCGATGACAAAATTCAGAACAGTACGATATCAAAATCAATTTAGGCAAAATAGGCATATTCGAAGAGAAGTCGAAAGAGCCCAGGAATTAATTTTAATAATAAACAACACTCGCATTAAATTTCATACCTTCAAACTTGAATATTTATTCAAAAATCTTATCTAAATGTGAAGACACATTATATGACAATTATATACAATTTACATATTACAATACAATATTATGTGACAATACATTTTCTCAGTTTCATTTTTCATCTAAAAAGAGATGGCAACGAAATGCAATTATGCACAAAAGGAGATATAGTTTAGATCTCTTCATCTTATTTAATACGCCTTATTAGTGAAGCAAACAGTAAATGCAAGGATTTATAGAGAAACCACTGCTAAAATTAGTAAATTATGCATGAGCCAATAATAATACATTTTAAAAACTTTTCTTAAATAATGGCTTTCTAAACCCCACTAACAAACTACAGAAGCATCCTTTGAAGAAGGGATAATTCACAGCATAACCGCTATAAATAAAAAAATGCATGAAAATTATCAATTTTTTGTAAATACAAAGATCACAAAGAAAAAACTTGTATCTGTAATCCACCAAGTCATCTAAATAACACTAAATTTTTAAACAAATTCAAAGGGAAAAAGTGTATTATACTGAGAAGCAGTGCTGACCGACAACGCATTGCCATTTTTCTAACTAACGTTTAATAACGCGAACTTTTTAAGCATAATAAATAGAACAATAGAACAAAGAATGCCGAAAAAATCAGCACATAAAATATATGAGTTAGGAGAATACATCGTTGGTCACAAAAATACAAGAAATACAAGAAGGAAAGAAAACAGTAACAGAAATTTCAAATTATTAACTGCTCCAAACATACAACTAAAGCAGGTAAAATGTTTTGGATGTTAATTCGGAAGCAATTTAGAGTAAATTGTGGAACATTTCGGAAAAAATATACTTTGAGAACACAACAGAAAAGATAAAAATTGCAAAGCCAGACTGAAGAAGTAAATATATTGCAGAAATTCCTCAATAACCCTAATAAAGAAACAAAGTGAGAGCTTAACATGGACTGAAAGAAAGATGAAGTCACAGAGGAAAAAAGGTTTTAGAGCAATTTTTCAGAAGACATTGTACAAGAACAAGAACAAAACTATACAAGTATTAGCAAATCAACATTATAATTAAAATAACCCAAACTTTAACCGGTATTAATCGATCAGCAGAATTATCCACCGCAAGCACCACCAATGAGCAAAAAATATTGCAAGGCGATGGCATGAAGGAGTGAGGAATGGTTAAAGAAATTGCAAGAAATCAATAATTATATTTTCTCATGATAGTTTGTAGAACCGATGATAAAAAGCAACATGAAGACTGCAAAGAGAAATGCTACATAAAAGATTGTAGGTATGCTTTAGACATAGCGGAGAAAAAATACATATTAGTTATATGT